TAATATATTCTGTGGAAAGGATAGGGAAAATTTCCTTCCTGAGGATCAGGTAGGCTTTCAAACCTTTGGCCACATAATAACATGTATTAGTGACACTCAGTGTAAAGAAGATGAATCACATGAACCCTGGCCATACCTACTCCCTACACTGAAGGGTCCCCATCTCTACTCTGCGACAATGTTTACATGTAACCTTTTTGAATTGTTATTTGTAAAACAAGATGTTATAAGAAAAAAAGAAAGCCCTAATTCTATACGAAAGAATGAATCTACCACCATGATGTCGACTGTCCATCTTCTAAGCACTCTAAAGGATAAAAATGTCTATAAAATCAAGTCCAGTACATGAAGAACCTGAAATGTGTTGATACAGGTTTAATTTCCAAGGGGCAAATACTCTGTCCAAAGCAATGCCAATTCAGATTGCAGTCAAGGTAAATCTCTGTTACCAGGTGTTTTAAGCCCCTGGAAAGCAACCACAGCTGGATGGCTTCAGCTGGGGGAACCCAGACACTATGGCATGCAGCATGGCATCTCCTATGCCGTTGTAAAAGACACATTGTTGAGAAAGTAGAAAAAGATAAACTTGTTTAGGAACTATTTTGTCTTAGATCTCTGAAAACAGTAGTAGTAACCAGTGAACAATATAAAAGCTAAACAAGCACTTGATATCACTTAGCTCACACATGCTTGCTAAAGCTTGCTTGTTAATGTCCAGCTCTTCAGCGTCATCAGACTAATGAGGCTGAGAATCTGGCTCCAAAATAGCAGTAAGACACTTTGGACCTATTTATTATCAGTTTTATGTCAATATAACACGACAAAGAGCTGTGGTATTACACACAGAAAGTGTAGTAAGGCAGCAATAATTCAGGCATTTGGGGGGAAAACCCGCAAGAACAGTACAGAAGGTGCTGACCCCTCTCCCAGCCATGCTGTCTGGAGTTACACAGAGCAGGCAGTGCTCTGCTCCATTTGTGCGGGATACTGAAAATGTATCACCTGAACCTCTAGGCCCAAATTCTGTTGAAGGGCACAGTCCCAACCTAAAGCATTACTTGAGCAAATTCATTGGCTTTAAGGTCAGAAAGATGCCCTTATTTAATCTATCTCCCCACGTAACATACACATTTTCAGCCAGAAATTCATAAAATAGGCAAATAGCAGGAAGAGCTAGAATGTATCTTTGCGCATATCCACAAAATACTTTGAATTTGAATTCTCTCTGAAAATGAAAGCTTTCCTCCATTGCCAGATACATAAGTAGCCACATGTGAATGAGACAGGGGAGTACTCGAGTGCTACTTTGTGCTATTCTGGTTACAAGGATCACTGAATCCAAGGGGGGAAAAAACTCAGCATGAAAATTACTCTTTGGGTAAAGGAACTCCTTTTTTAATGTGGATGTGACTCAGTCCAATACTTACATACATGCATTATTTTTTAAGTGCATTACTTAAGTACATAAACCTACAAACATATTTAAGTGCTCTGCTGGATCAGAGACATAATGAATGGTTAATGCTACAAATTAATAAGCTATATTTAAAAAAAAGAAAAGATATTTCTGAAAACACTACACTCAAGTGTTTGTAACTAATTTAGGGGCTTTCAAACTTATATTTCTAATACCTAGGAGGAGATTTGTGCCCCTACTTCACTTACAGAACAGCAAGTTCAGAGGCACTGCATGTTACTACATTGCCTTTTAAAGATACAATGGCTGGTCAAAGAACTTGAAGTTTCCAATTAAATATAAACTGCACCATAATATTCAACATTGTTTCTTGCAGCTGCTCACACTGTACTGAAAGGATATAAAATGCCACCAGTTCCAAATTATACCATATTAGATCCAGTATGCTCATGGGGAAAAAGGGGGACCAAAACCTTAGAGCTTTTGCCTAGAGTTAGAAATACAGAGTCCCACTCTCCAGATATTCCAGCTGAGACCACAGCCTCTGAAAGCTCTGCAAACCATCTCCTGAGGGTGCTGCACTCATAAGCACCAGAGGCCATGGCTACACCCTTTCTGAAGTTTTCCCCTTTTTGAGGAAAAAAAGATGAATCGGAGGCTAAGCAGGGACAATCACCTGTTCAGTCAAGTCCATATATTGGGGCTACTTCTCCTCTCATGTTTCTCACTCTAAATCAGGAATAAGTGGTGTAAGAGGAAATTAGTCTGTCCTTGCAATGGCATGATGGCACTTTTTGGACTTGTAGTTAATTGTGAAGTATCATTGCTCCATATTATTCTTGACTGGTTACCTGCAGGTAGATGACTTGGGTTTGCTGGCAAGAGTAGCCTGTGGGTGAGCAGGACCTCTGCTTTACTTTTTCTTGTGCTTGCTGCTAACCAAACTTCAGTGTTCGGGAGTAGAAAAGAAAGGTGGCAGAAATTACAAGTTAATGGAATTTTATATTCTGTGGTCAGAGGATTTCACAGCAAGAAGACCGCATGGTCACCTTCACTAGTTGATAGATAAAGGTCCTTCTTTCTTCTTGTGAGCTGGTGTAGCACCACATGTTGATCATGACTACTGCCAGGGGTGCACACCATTTCTCTGGCGATTCTGATTCCTTCAGTAATGACAACCTCAGAAAATAGCCTTTGTTCAGCAGCTCTCAGTCCATATTTTGGTCAGTGTTGACAATGTTGGAACTGACTTCTCTAGGAAGGTAATGTGTTTCCCCTGCATGCCTTTATTGGCTTAGTTTAGACTTACAGCTTACAATAAAGCCTCCTTCAGGAATCGATCAAAAACTGGCCAGAGTTTGGGTTTTCTTTCTTTCAGAGGATGCTGATTTAATTATATGATTTTGTAGAAATATATTCATATTGTCAAAATTTTCTTTATCAAAAAATACTAACGATTTTTTATGTTATGTTTTGCATATAATTCTAAAAGGAAAATTAAGAGGCTATTGAAAGTATGTAAACAAGGCTTTTTCAGTATTTCCAAAGTGAACATCTTTCCCTCTACATTCCAGTTTCTCAGACGTTTCAAAAGATGAATGTTTTTAGACGTGTAAGCGTCAGGATTTCCTAAAAAGCAGGCGGTCTCCATCCCAGCAAGCTCTGAATTCCCTTGAAATCAGCTCAGAAGCAGCAGCAGTTGCAGATGTGTCACTTCTATCACTCTCATTCTCTGCCATCAGTGTCAGCTCCTGACAATCCTACAAACCTAATCTGCTCTTCCCTGTTATTCACATGGAACAGAAGCACACACAAGGCATGAAACGGAATAGATGAGGATAGATGATTCATCTCCAGCCTTTTATGACTCCCTAAATGCTCTGTTTCTGAGGTATTTGAAAAGATTGTCGCTCTTTACCTCACCCTGTGCTGATTAAAATGGGTGAGTGATTAAAATGGATGGGTGATGGGCTGCAATTACACTTTGTCCTACTGCTTTGCCTCAATTTTTGCCATGGCAGAAATTTCTTGGTGCAAGAAGCATTGGAGACTGGAGCAAAAGGAGACGTTTTTGTCATCTGTTCTGATCTCCTATGGCAAAAAAAATATACTCAGTACCTTTGAGCCAAGGAAATTTATTCCTTGGGATGAGAAGTGTAGAAGTGAACATCTCAGGTAGCACATGCTGACTGAGGATGTATTGTACCTGGTGGCTGCACAAGGGAAAAGAGTAGTTCTCAGGCTTGACCCCAAAAAGCTATTAATATGTACAGAATAACAGGAGGTGATTAAAATGATATTCCCTTATGTTGTAGTTTGGGGTAGAAGCATCTGAGTTTGCAGACAGAGAGTGGGAATCGTTACAAGTAACATAAATGGACTGAGACATTCTGAAATAAGCAGCCACCATTTCAAGCAGGGGAACCAGCCCCATGGGTCATCTCATGTGCCAGTTGAGAAGAGCCAGGAGACAAGGAAAGGCAGCTGGCAAAGGAAAAGAGGGAAATCTACTCTTCCCAGGACAACCTAATGGATGCCAAGGAGAGTACTGTCTTTAGTTTCGAGGACTTGGTTCCACATAATGTTTAATCAACTTACATATTATAAATTAAAAATTAAACCAGGAATAACTCTGTTCAAAAATATGTAGAAGTTCTGCTCTTTCTTATTTATTTTCACACAAGCTCTCTACACGGCAAAATCCAAACCTGACTATCACTGAGACCTCTTAAAGAGTTCTTTTAATTTCCTAAACTCCTAAGACTTTCCCTGCAGGGCAAAATACAGCTTTGACTTCCTAGTGCCCACCTGAAATCAATTCTCTGCCCTTTGAGACATTATTAGTACATCATAAGCATGGCACTACAAAGCCTCCAGAGCAAGAAATTAAATGCCACGTACATTTGATTACAAAGTTTCAGCATCTCCTGGGGAGAAAACAGACTACAGTAATTCGGAATAAGCAAACGCCACATCGTGTCCTGTGGGTCCAGGCTTGCAGACAATTTCTTTTCTTAGCTCTTCCCCTGGAAGGGCAAAAGACAGACGACTCACCCTTTGCCTTCACAGAAGCTTTCAACGAAGCTGAGAAAAGGAAAAGCGGCCACGTGTGGGACAAACTATACAACGAGGACCTCCAGCCCTGTCTCACCAGCCTGCCCAGCCCCAGGCAGCGGGAGAGGCAGAAGTGGGGCAGAAACAAGAGGGACCCGGGGTCTGAGCCCGCACCCCTTCCCCAGCTGTCCTTGATGGCAGGGAGCACAGCACCCCGGCGGTGCCGGGAGCGGAGGGAAAGCCTCGTAGCGGGCATGGTGGTGGGCAGGCTGCTTTTGCAGCCTACTTGAAGGGTCTCTCTGCTCACTCCTGCAGCAGGCAGCGAGCGGTGCCAGCCTGAACCCCGCACCATCGCTGGCTGCGAGGGGCCCGCGGCATCCCAGGCGGCCACTCAGGCACAAAACGAGGCAATTGGCTCTCCCTCGAGATTTTTTCACCCAAGCTGAACTAGACGGGCACGCGTTTCTGAAGGACAGCCAAGCTCTTCCTGTCAAGCTGTAACTGGTTATTTTTTCTTCTTCAGGAAAAGATTGGATTTGGTGCTAATAATGACCACCTAAATAACATTACAGAAATATGCACATATCCGCTCTGGTACGTGTGTACGATTCCTACATCTTAATGTTATTATAGATTAATACTGAAGTTTTTTTACTCCAAGCATTATACTTTCCCAGCCTGTGTACTTTGTGAAAAATGACTACATCACATCAAATGAAAATTAATGCGTATTTTGACAGGATAAAGATACTAACGACTCAACATTTGCAAGCACTACCTGATGCATAACTTTTGTATGGCTTAACATGTTACTAACAGTACTTTAAACCTTATGTTTTTCTTTAATTTAATGCTTGTGTCTGAAAATAGCCCCTTTCAAATTCAGTTGCAGTAATGTCTTTTAAAGCAAATGTTAAACTTAATTTGCTGCACATAAAATTATCCAAATAAGTTGCATAGTTTAAAAAAGTTCAGTTGTGCTTTGTAGCAGAACTCACAGTAATTACTCATCTCTTAAAAATATGATTTGCGGATATGAAGTTGACAATACATTTAAGCATTTTTGTGACTTCTAGACATCAACAATATGAGTTTTTGTCACTCTTCCACTGACTTCTGCTGTTCATAATACCTCACCCTTACATGATATTAGATCAGAGCATGGACATTTAATGGACACATCTGAAATAATTACAAACACAATTTTTAAAACTCCATTGTCGGGAGGGTAGAAATAAGAACTTGGGTTGGTTTGAGGTATCCAGCCCTCAGGAACATACTATGGTTGTTTACATTAAGCTTTGTTGGTTTTATCACGTGTTACATTTAGATTAAAAATAGAAGGCACAGGTGTTTTACAAGGCGCCATAATTAAGTCAACCAACAAAACTAAGTATTACATTACCAAGCCAGGGGTCTATATCTCAGCAGTGACTTCTTCCAATGCATTTTCATTTGAGGAATTTATTGCTTCTGAAAAAGGGCCGGGGTATGTCTGTGCTACGCAGTTCATTCCTTGTGCCACACTGATGTCTCCTCGGGAACTGAAGGTAGGGCAGGATCTAGTCCGTGCATAGTTTTGTTGGGGTCCAGCTTGGCCAACCATCTCACTCACAGTGTTCACCGGTGAAGCCCTCCATCTCTGTCTCTGCAGTTGCTCTTCTTTACACTTAATGGAATACCAGGCCAGAAAAATAAAAAAGAATCCAACAAACTTGAGAGCAGCTGCCAACCCAAAGTAGACAAAACGAAATGAGGTGACATCGTATTCCCAACAAGATCCTTGTATGCCGCAATCCTGTTGCCAAAGCATGCACGTGGTGTCAATAACAGCCCCAAAATATATTGGAGTGGGAATGTAAGCTGAAATAAAAACAGCAACAGAAATAATATGTGTTAGCATATAGTGGAAAATGTCTAAAGAAACTATATGCCTTAGCCAAACAGTGTTAAGTCGAGAATTTTTGAGATTTCTATGCTGCTGTTCCCACATGAAACATAAAACATGGAAAACTGGTCCGCTGATCTTCCCACCAACGCTTCTTAGCCCACACATGAAACATACCACAAAGAGGAAAGAATTCAAGCAAAGAAGACAATGTAGCAGCACCTCACAACAGGTACTGCTTCAATCTGCCATCCCCAGACAGCTCTTCTTGAACTACGTGTCCCCCGAAAGAAAATCCAATGTTGCTCTCAGGAAATAAAATATGGGAGAGGAACAAAATACAGCGTTATCTCCAGAGTGTCGCTTGCTGAACATCCATTGGCCATGAGCTGGGAAAGGGCAGGAGTTACTGCTTTAGATTCAGGAGAAAAAGTCCCAAAGACAGCAAAATGTTTCTCTTACTGAAAATGGATGGAAGTGGTGAGACCACTAAAATTGTATATTTTCTTTTGAATAGATCTTCCTCAGAAACAGACTTTAACTTCTAAAGCTGCTAAAAATGCAGTCAGCCCATTGAATGCTCCTGCTTTCTCCAGAAATACAACAACTTTAAGACAAGTCAGAAACGTCCTTCCACAAAGACAACTTCCAGATGCAGCTATACAGGCTTCTTCTCTTGTTCTCTTAGAAAATAGTCCTTGCTTCCTCTAGTCATAAGTTTTGTAGTAGCTGAACGCCTGGAGTCTTCTTTATAGGCAGGATTTTAGAAGTTCAAAAGCTTGAAAGAAACTACTTTGTGGAATAAAGACTTCTAACATGCACCCTTTTTGCTTTGAAACATTTGAAATTAGACATTAAGTAACAATTACTTCTTATTTTAAAAATGCAAAAAGCTATTGTTATGGCTGAAAGCAATAAAAATCTTTCTAAAAAAGAAAAAATCCTTATAAAATAATATTTAGTAACTATTAATTTTTAAATACAATTTGAAACTGTAAAAATGTCTCTTTCTGGGACAGAAATGTACTAGAAAGTCAGTAAAAAAAATACATTGTCAGCTACAACGTTTTCAGAAGCTATTAATTTTAGGTTCCTAATACAATTAGTCAGGTAATTAGTTGCAGATTTAGTACTTTTATGGTACATTTAAGCCAAACATGGTGAGCCTTTATGGAAATGCTGAGTAACTATAAGACTTACCCAGAGTTCGTAATAAAACAAACTGCATTCCTAGTGCAAAGGGCCGCTCTCCATCTTCCACAGACCTAGCAGGCAAAAAGAAAACTCTGAAGTTGTAACAGATAAGAATTGTGCTATGTCCTTGCTCTACCTGCTGGCTTTTTTCTGAGCTATAAAAAGTCTTTCTCTAAATTTCTTCCATTTAGCTTCTAATATTGTTAACTCTTATTGCTAGGAAAAAAATACAGCCAGTTCCTCCCATCCCTGCTTAATCAAAATCTCAATCACGCCTTTTAACCTTTCTTTGCCTGTGTAAGCCCTGAAGAATTTCATCCAAACCCATTAAGGAAATTTAGAGAGTCCATCCAAAATGTTTATGGCTTCTCATGACAGTTTCCTATTATTTCATATAATGCCTTGCTTTATTTTCTTCATCTTTTTCAGATAAATTGGAATTAATGGAGAATTAAGTTGCTGTAAGCTAGACTCGGCTTCTGAATTTAACAGATCTCTGCATAGTATAATCACTTTGGAGATACTTTAGGAAAAATATCAGTCTCTGATATTACATGATCTATTACAAAGATTTACCATTATTATTATTTTTATAGGGGTCTAATTGTGGGCAGCAGCAGAACATCAGCAGTTTCAGAATATTAGAGTGAAGATGTAAAGACAACACTACTAGGAGAAAATCCGACTTGGTTGGGAGTACCCTTCTCGCAGAAAGAAAAGTCCTGAGACTGGTTTAAAAAAGCTCAATTTGGAAAGGGATTTTACACAAAACCAGGTCAAAAGGTGTCTCTATGTTAGCAGTTAATGCAGCTCAAGAGAAGCGAGTTTATACAGCTAAACAGCTCATGCTGAGGACCTGACATCTACCACCGCAAGCATTTCAGGTTTTGTAGGGATTTACTTCAAATGAGCTCTAACCTGGTCCCAGGGACTGAATGCCCATTTGCATCTGGATCGTTTTGGGTGTGCTTCTGAAGAGCATCTTGAACACTGGAACAGGCTTCCTAGAGAGGTGGTCAATGCCCCAAGCCTGTCAGTGTTTGGACGATGCCCTTAATAACAGACTTTCATTTTTGGTCAGCCCTGAAGTGGTCAGGCAGTTGGACTAGATGATCATTGTAGGTCCTTTCCAACTGAGCTATTCTATTCTATTCTATTTCTATTTCTATTCTATTCTATTTCTATTTTATTTCTATTTTTTCTATCTTCCAGCTCATCTCCGTCCAACAGGAACTCAATTCTTGAACTCTGAGAGCTCTTCAGCTTCAGATTCCAAACCAAACTGACATCTTTAAACCATTCTCTTTGTCCTTCTGTTACCAGTAGAACAAATACCTATGGGTGTTCTTTGTAAATCCTAGTAAATAATTACCTCATTTTCCTCTAATTTTTCCTCCTCCTCTTCTGACAACAGCAACATGTATTATACAAATACAAATTTATTTTAGCAGATGACCATATTCTGTTTTTTCAGCTCACTTTTCTTTAAAAATCAGGCTGAAGTTCACTTACAGAAGCTGTATTTTAAATGGATGGAGATGTTACAGAGAGTGATAATGTTTATCAGACCAGATGGCAGAGATGGGAAAAGCCAATCCAAAACCCTGAACACTTTTTTCCAAATGGACAAATAGATGACACTACCTTTCCCTACAAAGACTGTGTTGTTCTCTATCCTTAAATGACCATGGTGACAACAATACTACTACAGTACAAGTTCAAAATTCTTGTGAAGAAAAAAAGTGAAGAGTCAAACACAGGCATGTGGCAGGAATGAACAATTTTAAGAGAAAAAGATAATTTTAAATACTAACTTTTTTTCATTTGCATTTGAAAACCCAAACCATTGCTCCAAGAAGGCTGAAAATGTCTTCAGGAGTAATCATTTTCTTACATGACATTTTTACTTGTTCTCTCTTTATAGTGCCTGGAAATAGCTGGACACTTCATGTTTCCTAAAGTGTATTATCATGTTACATATTCTAAATACAAGCAAGTTCCACCCTATCCATGTCAGCCCTATTCTATTCATCTTTTAAGTATACATAAGCTTGAAGGAGTTTGGCTGCATTGCCCCAGCCTCTTCTGACACAGGCACTGGTGATAGCAGGCACAGTAAAAATAATTAAAAAACCATAAGTGAGTTCTCACCTCAGTGTTACTATGATTGCTGATGGCTGGGCGCACGCTGTTATAAGGGTAACAATGAAGAGAAATATCAGGAACGGGATAAGTGTGTTGCAGGTTCGATCACACTTCCCAGAAACAGCATAGCCATTCTCATTCAGGTAGGTTTTGACAATAACCAGACGGAGCTGACTGCGCTGGCCCACTGTTGGCGGAGTGATCACCTGGCGACTCTGGACACAGGCACATTCTGTGTAATTTCTTACCTGGGGAGAACGAAAAAGAACATTTCCACATGAAAAACCCATACAAGAAAGACATTGCGTAGACATATGGTACAACAGTCCCCTAGTACTTCTCAATCAGGAAACTTCTGCCTCTAGCATCTCTACCTCAAGTACAAGCGAGGTTACCACCAAGCATTTTTAAAGCTGGCCAGGACTCTCGATGATGAGATTATGCCTTTCCATTGCTTTATTTAGGCTGAGTTTAAAAAAACATTCTGGAATATTTTTGGAAAATTCTGCTGAAACAATTCAATCACTTCTGACAGGGAGGCTGGAGAAAAATTCTATTAGTTCTATTGTATTACAAAAACTGTGAGGAAACACTCTTTAAGCAGCACTGACAATGCCATATTCTGGAATTTGGCAGGCTGTTGACTTGCACATTCAGGAGGTGTCTTCTGCCATCTCAATGTAAGTCTACCCAGATTTGGCCAAAGAGCAACAAGCTGCACTTCACGCTTGGAGCCCAGGACCTTCCAGCTGGATGTGGGTGTGGATGTGGATGGGATGTGGACAGGAGCAAAACCAGAGAATAAGGGGAAAGCAGAGACTTAACCAGTGAGACTGGAGGACATGGGGGATCCCTGAATGGACAAAAAGGCTGAAATTAGGATGAAGAGACTGAATAAAGAAGTGTCATTTCACAGGCAAAGGGCACCATGATTTGTGCAAGGTGAGAACAAGCTAGATCAGAAATTGCTTCCTGTCACATTTATTCTACTACTTTTTTCAACAAATCTAATGGCAAAGGGGTGTGCAGCAGATCAGAATGCTCCAGTGCTAGAGAAGAAACAGGTCAGGACCCATGTGATGTTACAGGAAGGAGTTTTTGGTTTCAGTGTTTGCATTCGTAAAACCTAGGACCACACATGCACTGAAGCTACATTGCAAGACCATCTAAGGTTGTGAATTTAAGCACTTGGACATCAGGAAATATCCAAATTATGGTTGCTTGTCAACTTTAATGTACACCTTTGTATGTGTTCATGCTATGATGTAGCCTCACATTTTTTTCCCATTGGTTTTAGCTGAACATCTTAATAATGTATCAATTTATCCAGTATTTTACCTCCCATTTTCAAAATGTGGCTTCAGCTATTTTTTTCCTCACACTAAACATACATTCCACTACAAAGGCAGAGTGACTCATATTTCATATGGATTTTTCTATCACACTCACTGTTATGGCTTAACTCTTTCTAAAAGGAGTAATTTATCTTCAAAACAGTTATGAGATGAGGCACTGATGTTGTTATCTCAATTTTGTAGCTAAGTAACTGAAACAGATGAAAAGTTTCACAAATGTGGGTGACTAATCTGAGACCCTCGGGTTCCTTTTTTTCAGAACATTTTCCATTATATACAACTTAATATATTCTATATGTAACCTTTCATGCCTTCAGATACAGGTTTAGGCACTCAGTGCTTCTAGAACTGGCACTTCTGGTTATTGCTCATGTCCATCATCCAGAATATGAAGAATACAAGATTAACAACCAACTGGGAGAAGTTTTGTTCAAGTGACTTGCCCAACATCACTTAGGAATGAAAGTAGTGACAGAATCCAGTTTCCCAAGGCAGCACTCCACTCTCTAATGTCACATGAGTATCTGCTTTCTTCCTACACTCCCTCACCTTAATCTCCTTATGCAAATGCGAAATAGGCATCATACAGAAAATAGTCCTCTTTACTACACAGTCTTGGTTCAACACCAGAGAAACCAAGTCTGTGTACCAAATGAGACAGACATGACACAACAGAAATGCTGGAGTATAGGAATATATATACATAACAGGTATGAACTGTACACTGGCATCCTTTTCTCCTACTTCCGATTTTTAAACGGTTAATTTTGAAAACACTGTATGTTACAAACTTAAATCCCAATGTTACAGGTTAGCAATATTTTGTGTGTTACACAGTGGCACAAGCTTACATTTGTTGTTTTTAATAGTACCCTACATAAAGCATTATTTAATGAAGAAATGCATTTTCCTACCAATGACGTCAGCCCTATTCTATTCATCATTAGCCACCAAGTGAAAACTTCAGGCCATGAAGGATCTTTTCTTAAATCATAAGAGGAGATAGTACGTTATCTGTAGTGAAAAGCACATACTCCCAAATAACCTCCCTACTAAATGACTTAATAGTGCCAGTTTGATATCAGGTGAAATGTAGCAAAGATCAAACCTATGTCTCAATCCAGCAAAGCATAAGTAAGATTTATACAGACACTGAAAGTTACCCACAGGCTCACATCACAGGATTTTCCAATTGAGCCAAAGCAATTTTCTAATAAAAACCAGCAAGATACTCTAAAAAAAAAACCTATAAGGGAAACTAATCTGTTTTCAATGCCATCTGTGTATGAACCTGCATTTTCAGACCATTTCCCAGTCAACCTGAGAAAGCACAGCATTGGACCTAACACCCTTGTTCTTCACAGGCTGGCTCAAGACTGCACTGGTACATTATAAATAAGCTTTCTGGAAAGCACATTCAAGTCCTGAGAAAATCAATGTTTACATTATTTCCCATCTTTCTTAATCATCCTTTTGTAAAGGACAGTTTTGCAACAGAATAAGTTAAGAGTTTGATTTTTGTACGGAATGAGAACGACCATAATGCTCTGTTGATATTTAGGTCCAATTCTACTTTTCAACTGTTTTCTTGTGCCCAGTTCTAGAAACTGCCAAATTTCAATAGTGGGATTTTACCAGCAGGATGCCCTTCCCCAGGCCAGCATAACTGGAAGACTGGGCTGTAACAGGCAATGCATTTCCAAAAAAAGAAAAGGGGGGATGCTTGCTCTAGAAACAGAGCAGTCTTCGATCTGCATCAGTCCCAAGGGGCGACTTGCAGGTTATATGTGGGTGGGTGGGTGAAGCACTTACCCCTGTGCTATGGTTTCCACCATTGATGCAGCCAGCTAGGCAAGGATTAAAATATGTTATTCCATCTGATCCACAGACGGGCTCGTACTCATGAATCTTACATCCGCAGTTAACATTGCAGCTCCCAGTCAGATTCCTGTGGGCCATGGCAAGAGTGGGACTGAAGAAAGGAAAAAGAACATGCTAGTAGAGCAAGCACAGATATCCTGCTGTTCAGAGGGTGAAAACATCCTACTTATTAACACTGGAACTCAGAATTGATTATCAGAGAAAGATGGCATTACCTCTAGGTTATGTACATGATTTAAACAATATAGAAGAACACCCAAGGCATCTCTGCCATCAACTAAAAACACAATACAAAAATAATACCAAAGTTTGAAACTTCTATCTTATTTGCCTAGGTAGTAGTTGTATTTTTCCCCTGTTTTTTTTTCCTTTAAGAGTTAAGACACCACTATTTTATATGTCTATGCTAAGCTGCAGCAATTTGTTTTTGATTACTAGTGAAGGGCTCAGTGACAAGATGTAAGCATTATGTGAACTAACAGGCATCTCCTCCCACATACCAACAAGTGTTCAGAAAACTTAATGCTTGTATTATTTATATGTATATGTGAAATCTACAGGAAGCTCTCTAGATCTGGAGGAGTGCTGTGCTTTTACTAAATGTCTGTAGAAGAACCACTACTCCGCTTCCCCGGACCATTCCCCAAAATCTTGCCAAAGCTCAACTTTCTAGGTCCTCCCTAGAAGGGTTTGGCGGTATGCTCAGAAGGAACTAAAGGGAATTTCAAAGCTGAAGGACACACACGCACCAAAAAGCAGGCTCTTCACTATCATCTACCACTGCTGCTCCAAACAGGTGGTTGAACAGATCTCAACTGCCACAGCAGGGAACTGCATCAACTCTTCACTGGCAAGCGCCATGCCAGCCTGGGCACGTCTTCATCACAGGATGAATACACAAAGGGACCCCAGCCAAGGCAGCAGCTCATGGCACTCACTGAGCTCAGTGGCTCATGTAACAAGGCTCGAATGAAGCACTGCGCTGAGACAGCTACAGGTCTCTCCCAATGCACCTTCTCCTCCAGCAAACACCTCTGCATGGCACGTCTGGGCCCTGTCTGGAGACAGCATGTCATTCGGAAGCAGTTTTGGTCCCCACAAATGGCACTGCCCTGGGTGCTGGGAGTCCCAAAGCAAGACGAACTCCTAAGACAGAACCAATACCTGATATCCTGAGCTGCCAAGGGGCAGCGAGTATGAACCACTGAGTGCCAGTGTGCAATTCATGGCTGGAATCAAGATTTTATAAACATATAATCCCACTGTATCTCTACTTTACCCTATCAGTTGTACCATTGCAGCTCAATCCAGAAGTGACAAAGGCCTTAGTAATAGCAGTGTCCATATCTGTAAGACCACAGACTCCTCATCAGAAGATGATGGGGAAAAAAAACCCCACTGATCAAATGGTGCTTTTTGCTACCAGTAACCAACTCTGGTTACAACTGACCGCCAGCTGTCATCATCCCAGGCTTTGACTCAGGTTGACTAAGTCACACAGTCACCAAAGTAACCAGCTCCTGTCTTATGTACCATATCACTTCAGCCCTGCCCAAAACAACTCCCAGGTCACTTAAAAATGCCCAGCTTTGGGCACAAACCCTGGAGAAGACATACAGCTACTCCCTGTGCTGAAGGAAAGCCAAAGGTGACACTGGACTTTTAACATTCCTGGATAGGGTAAGGGCTTGAGTACAAAACAAAGGAGGAAAAGCATTAGCAGGCACAAGGGCAACCTCACTGCAAGAAAAGAATAGTAAAAAACCCCTACATAACTGTATATACAAATTCTGATTATAGAGAAACAGAGAGAGTTAAAATGAAAGAGTTAAAGAAAGAGAAAATGGATACCCGTTTGCTCCCAAATTAAAAACAGACTGGCATAACATGACCCAGTGTACATAGAGCTAGTATCAGAGGATGTAAGGTGTCAAACTCTATTACCTAGAGGCTCCTCATTAATGAGGAAGTAGTTGATGATCATAGCATATTTTTCTGACAAATAACTGGTCTGAAATGCCATTTACTTTTAATGGGCATATTTTCTTGAAAACCTCAGATTAGTTTATAAAGAGCTACTATACTATCTTTGGCCCTTTCAGTTACTGGGATTGCTCAGATGAGTTTTGTAGCATTGCTTTTTTTCCTTGGTTGGCTAAAGACTAATTGAAAATCTATTTTTGCATGTGTACATTTTCTGTGAGAGCCTTTAAATGAAAATGGCTGTTGAGACCATGGTTGCCTCTTCACCAGTATCCTGTCTCTAACAGTAGCCGTAAGAACATGACTAGGGAAGAGCAAGAACAGGGCAAGTAACTTCCCCAAGAAAAGTATTCTCTCAGCCTCTAACAAGTTTCAGCCCAAAATATTTTCTAAGTCAGATGTGTTTTTTTAGTGAATAACCCCCCTTTTTTTCCCCTATACTTTTCCCATTGAGATTACATTTTTTGCATCTACAATATCTAACAGCAAGGATTTTTTGACAGTCCACAGCCTGTTACACGAGCTGTTGTTTGTTTTGAATCTGGCTCCTGCTAGCTTTGTCTGACAGCCCCCACTTCTACTACTTTGCTTGTAAATTCTGAACACATGAAGGCTCCTGAAAAAATAAACTTAAGGGGTTCCTATGGCCAGCATGAAAATATTTGCAAGCTCTAGTGAAATCTTGTAGTTGCAATTAAATAAGCCACATCTAATATTAACTAATCTAATCACATCTAGTGTTACCTGAAGGCATTATGCTAGAAGGTACCTGAAGGTATAGGCTTAAAGTATTACCTTTTATCCATACTATTACAGAACATGCTAGCTCAGGTACCAAAAAGAAAATAACTGTTCCGTTTAGACATATATGCAGACACACTTTGAAATGTAGGTTGTTTTCTGCTGCCATTATGCAGCCAAATTATAACAAGCACAAACTTTTAAATGACCCATATTATATTTACACCTATTTTTACTACACTTGCCATGCTCTCTGTCTTGTTTCAGGTTGCTAAATTAATTAGTGCAAAAGCAAGAGTCTGCAGTGTGGTTTATTGCTGTTCCAATTTTCTGCATCTCATTTGGAATTTCATCGCGGTTTAAAACACTGCCAGCAACATGAATGCATTAAGGCAATGGAAAAGTTACCTGAATGACATTATTCATACCAATCTACTTCCAAGTGATAGGGTTGGCTGAGGCTAGAGACCCTAGGTCTTATTTCCTAAATACCTTTCTGTCTGAAGAAATCACGGTTCCCAAATTCTGCACCCACGCTCCCTCTTCACTGCATAAGGTGATTCCAAGCTACTGAAAACTGAAAAGCAGCTGATATCAACATTTTCACCTGAAGCTTCTCCTGTTACTCAGGAAAACTCCCATTTTATTATGTTACTTTCTGTCATAGCTGCACTCCAGGCTTGTAAGTGCTATCTTGTGTCTCAAAGTACCCAAATATTAGGGACTGCAATATTCAGTATTGCAATGCAAAAGTTTTTCAGAAGAGGGCCAGTTTCAAACCACTTATTTTATGGGCTGTAATTTGCAATACCTAAACCTGAAAGTTTTTAGTCCTTCCAGATGCCAAAGTCAGAAAGGCAGGTTCTGGAAGGAATCAAGACAGCTGGCACTCCTGAAGATCTCAAAAAATTCAGAACATGGAAGTGAGGGCCTGACCTCCCTCCAACGCCTTTCTGACTGGCACTCTGGCCAGGGAGGGTGAGATGGGAGCCGAGAGTGATGGCAAGACCAGATCAGAATTGGGTCTAGAGACAACGATCACAGCCAGACTCAGTCCAATGATCACACAGCAAGTCCAAGAGAAAGGAGGGGCAGGCCCTCACCTCCAGCTTTCTTCACAACAGCTCTTAGCAGTGACAGAGCTGACCCTGGACTCAGCCAGCTGAATTCCTTAACTCAGGTGACCAAGCTCCTAGAAGTGGGGGGACACACACTCTACACCCTGACACTGTACAGGAATACCGGTGCCCGCTACAGACAGCTCAGTGAGTTCCTGCACACAGAGCAAAAAGCTGCCCCTTGGTGCTGATAGCCTTCTCCAGACACACCACACTTCATGTATTTGTAACATCTCTTCTGAAGTGGAGGAGGAAGCTTCCTCCTCTTCATCAGCTCTGCAGTTGCCTGAGGTAGGCACACTGGGGTTCCAGGTCCTCCTCAACCTGATGGGGTTCAAACCTTCATCTCCTTGACAGTATTCTTGTCAGCAAGCTCCAGAATGGCGTCTCTTTCCATCCTTCCTGCTGAAGCTCAACATGATCTCAATCCTGCCCATGTCTCCTCATCAGTAACTGTCTACGGCCGTATCTACAAGGAAATCCTGGAGCAGGGACCAGGACTGAAGCCGTTTCTTCCAATGGAAAGCTCCTTTCAGAAGGTTTTAGTTAGGTTCCTCTCTTGCTTACTCTTTTTTCTTCTGCATCTCTATACATTCCTCTTTTTTTCTCCTTTCTCTTTCCTTGTATCCACCATCCCTTTGTGCAGTGGTTATGGTGCTCTTGGGGACATCAGGAGTTCACGGTCATATTCTCTCTGACTAAATAGCTGGATAGAGGTTACCACACAGAAGGTGAGCAACTCTTGTAGCAACCAGTTTCCTGACTTCCTAGCAAAAACCCGCTATCAGGCAGTTCTTATCTCCTCCACAATAACTGTTAAACTTAGTAGCCAATGCTAATAAAGTGGTCATCAGTGGGAAACAAGATATACATCCCTTATTGATTTGGACATATTTCAGATGCTTCCTTCCCATCTTTAAGTCACAGAAGCTTAAGCACCTGCACCTACCTGGCTCCCTGAAACCACACAAGAGTCTATGCTTGGTCACTTAGAGAATTCTGGCCAAAATACAAACAATAGCTTATTTCAGTTCAGTAGTCCTTGAGAATAGGTGACTATATTAGTCTCTGGGTTTTGGAAACAATTCACCTATTTCAGACATGTCCCAAAGTCCTTCTTCAGTCAATGCTCTCCTCTACCTTCTCCAGAGTGGTCACAATGGCAGAGATCCAGTTTAGCTCAGAAGACAGGGCCATGCAGTCTTTCATCTGCATGGTTTTGTGACTCTTCATAGCTACAGCACATGGT